AAAGCGCTTGCGGTTCAGCAGTTTCGCCTTGATGCCGCGCGCTGCGCGGCATTGCTTGCTTACCGTGTGCGGCAGTCGGGCAAGTCTCTTGCGTCTGCGTCTCACTTCTCAGCACTTACTCTCGCTCTTCGTGGTCTAGGCGCCGACCGTGCAGCTTGATGTGCCGCTCGATGTAGTTGTTCTGCGGCATCTAGGTTTTATCGCTGACAGCGTATTAATATAGGCGCAATAAATTGTAAATTGCGGCCGGACAGACGCGAGCGCTCCTTCATGAATGCAGTTGCCGCGCTCAATCTCGCCTGAGTTTGGCTTTGTCGACTCTTTTAACCTCGCTCCCTCGGATTCACCGACCGTAACTAATGTGTAAGTTAGCCGCGATCCTCTCTAGAGAAATACTCTCTTCGTTTTTTGAGCCGTGCGTGCTCCAGTGTGCAGCGACAGCCGCGAGTAACGCAGCCGCGCTTCAGTTTTCGGTTTCCGCGCGCGACTGCGTCTCGCTGGAAGCGTGCCCTCCGCAGCTCGTAACGCCGTTTGCGGCGCTCTTCGGCGAAGTAACACAATTCGAACAGTTGCTACTTGCTGCAGACTGTGCGTCCATTGCGCGCTTGCGCGACCTGCGCTTTCTGGCGTATCTCGCGGATACGTTGGGTCTGTCGCTCACGGAACTTAGTTCTTTACAAGTCGCATCCGAGTTAGTTCTGCAGCGCTGCGACTTTAAGGCGTTCTACACGCAGCTTACCTTCTACCGCGACATTGTGCTTTCTGCTTACAACGCGCTGACCTGGGAGCATTTCCGCAACATCACCGCGCTGCATTTGGCGCGGCACCTGCACTGCTTTCGCGCGGGCAGAGCGCGCGAGGCCGCTAGCGCGGCAGCCGACGACAGCCCTGGCGCTTGTGTTGGAGCGGCTGCGGGCGACCTGGGCCGCGACTCTGGCTGGCACACGTGCCGCGTCGTGTTGGTGACGACGACCGCGTTCCACGCCAAAGATTGGGTCATGCGTCTGCAGCGCGTATTGCAGCTCGAACTTGACGATGAACAGGGCGCGCTGCTGCAGCTGTCAAGTTTGGACAGGGACGCGAACATCGACTTTGCGGATGAGCTCGGCGTGCCAATGCTGGCGGCCAAGAGACAGAGCAAGTCGCTGGATTACATCAACGCCTTTCGCGGCAACAACTCAGACGAGTGTTTCCTCGCGCTTAAGACGCGGTACGGCAAGATGAAAATCAGCACAAAAGTTGACGGCGCCGATCTGTTGGTCTGCACTCCGCTCTCTCTGCATCTGTACCTTACCAAGAAGCTTGCTGCGGCGCGGCGAGCGGACGCTGAGGAGAGCGAAGATGAGGAAGCTGCTTCTACGGCCGCGCCGGACGCAGCGCTCTCGTCGGTAGAAGTTCTGGTCGTCGACCAGTACGACGTCATTGCACAGCAAAACTTCTTGCTGCTGTCTGCTGCGTTGGCGCACTTGAACACTCGACCATCGACGGTGGGCAAGTGCTTCAACATCAATCGCTTGAGGCCCTGCTACTTCGAAGGCGAAGCAGAAGACAGCAGCGTTCGGCTGCGGCAGAACGTCTTTTTGGGTGAGGGCCGCTGCGCCGCCGTCGAGAACTTGTCTGCGCAGAACCTGCGCGGCAGAGCGCTGCTGTGGCGCAAAAGCTCGGGCTTCGTCGCGCGCGAGCTCGCCGCGCGCTTTCCGAAAGCTTTTTTCACTTTTCGCGCGGGTGGCGCCGTCGACGTGCCACTGCCGGCGCTGCTGCGCAGTTTGGAGGGCGACGCGACGATGACCGCGTTTTACGCGCACTTCGTCTCGAAGCTGTATCCGCATCTCGCGCAGCAAGCCACGATGATTGTTGTGCCCTCGTGCGCGGAGATCTACATTCTGCTTGCAATGCTGAAGACGGAATTCGCAACGGACGCGCTGGCCGTTCTCAACGAAGAGGTGTCGCCCGCGAAGAGCCAGGCCGCGCTGCAGCGCTTCAACGCGCAAAAGCGGCGGCTACTACTGGTTTCTGAACGCTACTTGTTTTTTCACCGGCCGTTGGTACAGGCACAGTGCAACTGCGTCTTCCTGCAACCGCCAGCGAGTCCGCACGTGCTGCTCGCGCTGCTCGAGAGTGTGCGCGCAGCGCTGGGCGGACAGTTGTGTCTACTGTATTGGTCTGAGGCGCGCGACACGCTTGCGCTGGAGCGCATTTTCGGCGCTGAGTACCTGACTGCGCACCTGCTCAACGACGAGCCTGGCAGGATGACTGCGGTTTGTGCGGAAGATGTATGAATTTACTCGACTAGCTCGCGGCGCGCCGCAAGTCGAAAAGCAGCTGCAGAGCGAGCGACTGCAGCTGGAGTTTTTTGCCTTGTGCCGCGAGTTCGTTCGCTTGCGCGAGCTGCGCTGCGTTGGCGCGCGCGCCGAAGAGCCTCGCGACGTCGAGCGTTGCGTTCCACCCGGAGTCAGAAAGAAAGGCGCCGCTACAAAACTCGGCGTGCAGCGCGACCGCAGCGTCGTCTGCGCTGCGCACGTGCAGTCCGCACGCACTGCAGGAGCCTGGAAACGGATGTTGCGCAAGGCAGCGCCAGAACGCGGCGTTTTGCCGCGCCACAGACGCGCGCAGCGCCTCGCTCAGTTCTGCTGCGAGCTGCGCGCTGCAGCGCAACGCGTCGAGACGCAGCAGACGCGGCGAGCCGCAGGTTCGCCGCAGCGCGCCGAAACAGTTGTACTCGTGCGTCTTCAGTCGCGCTGCGAACCCGGGCTGCGCGCGCCGCAGCTCGGCGTGACACGCGTTGCAGCGCAGTTTGCCACGCGCGCGCAGCGCAGCGACCTCCGCATGAAACGTGTGCGTCGTCGGAACGGCGATGCCGGCGTAGCGCTCGACAAGCGCTGCGAGCTCGCGGAAAGGCTTTCCGTGCGCTGCGCGGCTCGCGACGCCGCGCGTCAGGAAGAGGAACGCGTGAATCATTTCGTGCAGCAGCGTCGCTAGGATCGCAGTTCGGTCGAGCATGTCGTGCAATCGACGGTTTAGAGCGATAGTGCGGCTAGCGAAGTTGCACAGCCCCGCCGTCGAGACGAGCCGCTCAGACCACTCCACGCGGAACTGCTGCGATACGCGCCCGCCGAAGATGCTCGCGTCGAACTCGGCGAAACATCGCTGCAGCTGCGCGGAGCTCACTGGTGCAAAAAGATTGCAAACCCTAAGGTTTTAAATATTGAACTCAAAGAGTTGCGTTGATTGGACTGAAAGTTTTCAATTAGCAATTATCAGGTATCCGCAGAGCGTCAACTACACTGAAACCGCCCTTAGCCCAAGGACGCAGCGCGACGCGCGCGCGCGCCGAGTAGCTGCGCGCGCGCGCGGCGAAAGGCCCTCGCGGGTTAGTTATACGTATTTAACCGGTCTTTGTACAGGCCTTGCCGGAAGTACTCCTGGCTGGCGCAGAAGACGAACGCGCCGCGGCTCACGAGGTCCGAATCGTCTGCTGCGGCGTCGAGCGCGCTCGCAAACTTCTCGCGCACGAAGTCGTCGCCCAGAAAGTCTGCGCTCTGCTCGAAGCGTTCGCGAGACAGCGCCGCGCCGGAGCTGCGCACGTGCGAGAAGCGGTAGTCGGGCGGCGCCTTGCACCGCAGGCTGCAGCGCGCGAGTTGCGCACTCCACGCGCGTGCGGCCTCCAGCTCTGGCGCCTCGAGGATCCGCGCCTCGCGGTTCGCCTGCTGGATCGCCAGACAGAGCTCCGGGTCCGCGATCAGTTTTTTGAAGCGCAGCAGTTGGTACACCTGCATGCAGACTTTGATGCGGTCGTTGACCGCCACGTTCACGAGGTGCTCGAGCGCCTCCTGCGGCGCCGCGAAGTTGGGCTGCTCTCGGCCGCCGCGCACTTACCGCTCCGCGCAGTCGCGCCTGCGTGCACTCCCACGCCTTCAAGAACGCGACCGCGTCACTCGGGTCGTACACGGAGCCGCCGAACCAAGAAGGCAGCAGCTCCGGAAACGCTTGCTCCGACTGCAGTTTCTGGCTTCCGCGCCGCAAGACCTACTCGCACCAGGCTCCGCAGCGCCTGCAAGTGCGCGTCTAACATGCCGCACGCGGCTCGGCCGCCGCCGACATATTTAGACACATCGAATTTCAATTTAATTTAGCAGCGCGACCGCGATGTAACCGCATGGGCTGTTTGCACTGCAAATTCGGCACGCCACAGAACCTGGACGCGCGCATTCAGCGGGGGCAGCCTTCTCTGGCGCGCGAGTCGCTGGCGGAGCTCGCGGACGCGCACGCGGAGCACAGCTGCGCGGAGTCCGCCGCGGGCGCGCCGGACGCGCCTGCGAAGCTCAAGTCGCTGCATTACTTGCGCCCGCTGCTCAACCGGTCGGAGTCCATCTACACGCGGTACGACCTCAAGGACTGCGTGCTCGGCCACGGCGTGAGCGGCGTCGTTCGGCTCGCGGAGCACCGCGAGAGCGCTGAAAAGTACGCCATCAAGACGCTCAGCATCAGCGCTTCGAATCTCAAAAAGGCGTACATGTCGCGCAACGAGGTCGACACCTACTTGCAGCTCGACCACCCGACAATCGTGCGGCTGGTCGACGTCTTCGAGGACGCCGAGAAAGTCTACATCGTCATGGAGTTCTCGAGCGGGAACGAGCTGTACGACCAGCTGATCAACGAGAAATTCCTCGACGAGTACCGCGCGAAAAAGCTCATTTTGCAGATGCTCGAGTGCGTGGTCTACTGCCACAACAAGCGCATCTGCCACCGCGACATCAAACTCGAGAACTGGGTCTACTCGAACCAGAAGCTCAACCTCGTGAAGCTGATCGACTTTGGCTTTAGCCGCACCTTTTCCTCGAACGTGCCGATGACGGCCATGCACGGCACAATCTACTACGTCTCGCCGGAGGTGATGGACGGCTGCTACCGCGAGAAGTGCGACATATGGTCGATCGGCGTGATTCTCTACATGGTGCTGAGCGGCAAGCCGCCGTTCACCGGGAACGCGGACTACCAAATTCTGCTGCGGATCAAGAACAACCTGTACGACTTCAAAGGCCCCGTCTGGAACAAAGTGTCCGCGGAAGCCAAGGAGTTCATCAAGCTGCTGTTGCAGCCCTCGCCCGCGGAGCGGCCGTCCGCGCGCGAGGCGCTGCAACACCGCTGGCTGCGAAACGTGAACATCGACAACGAGATCCTCGACGGCTTGCCGCCGGCGCAGGTCGCCGCGCGCACAGGCGCCGCACTCGCGGCGCTGGCCTACTACGCGGGCGCCTTTGCGCCGCTCGAAAAACTCGTGCTCTACGCGGTGATGCTCGGGCAGCTCGCCACGCCGTGGAACCACTACTTGTTCCGGCTGTTCGACGACTCGCGCAGCGGCTGCATCGGACCCGCGAGCTTCGCGAACGTGCTCGCGCGTCTGCAGCGCGACCACAGCTCTGCCGCAGCGCTCGACGCCGCCGCGACCTTTGCGGCGCTGGACTTTTTCCACGAGGGACAGGTCTCGTACACCGCGTTCATTTGCGCGACCGACTTCGTCGCTGTCTCAGCGCACGGCTCCTACATGCGCCGCGTGATCGACGCGCTCTGCGACGCCGAAGAGCGCGTCACCGAGGAGACGCTGCGCAACATCTGCGGCACCTCGATCGCGCACGTCCCGCTCAGCGAGCTGCTGCCCGACGGCGCGGTGGGCGGCGCCGCGCTGCTGTCTGCGCTGCTCGCAAAGGTCGAGCAGTTCGAGCAGGCCTCCGCGCCGCAGGCAAATTCAGCTGGCACAGCCACGTGCTAAATTAATTTCGATGAAACTCTTGTCGAAATTCCCGAGCGGCGCCGCGGAGCTCCGCTTCCGCGTCGACACCATTCACGACCTCTGGTATCTCGCAAAACTGCTGCGGCTCGGCGACCAGCTCGCCGCGGCTGATAAGCGCAAAATCAAAGCGGACAACGGCCGCGACGCGTTTGTGAAGACGCTCAGCTTCTGCATCGAAATCACGAAAGTCGAGTACGCCGCCTGCGCCGCAGCGGACGCGGACGGCAGTGCAGCCGCGTTCGCGCTCTGTCCAGACAACATCCGCGTCAGCGGCAAATGCGTCTCGGACAACGAGTTCATCGGGCTCGGCCAGCACCACACCTTCCAAATCGGCGAGGGCTTCGTAGGCAAGCTGCGCAAAGAGCTTTGGACGCGCGCCGACTGCCTCGTGCTGCGCCGCAGTCTCGAGCTGAAGTACGACATCCTCGTCTGCACCGTCTCACCCGCCACCGCAAACTTCTACATCCTCTTCGACGACCGGCTCTCGCTCGTCAAATCGCTCACTGTGCAACTGCAGAAGCTGACGTCCGCGACCAAACAAGTGCGCAACAGCTGTGCCGCAATCGTTGACGTGCTCACCGGCTACTTCAGCCTGCAGAACGTCAAAGCGCTGCTGCTCGGCTGCTCGAAGGCTTTCCAAAGCGTGTTCAGCAGCTTCGTCAAGTCGCGCGCCAACGCCGAGCAGTGTGCACAAGCCGCCGCGCTGCTCGCGAGACTGCTTTTTTTCGAAGTGGCCGACTGCAAGTTCAAGTCGCTGCGCAAAGCACTGGCGTCCGAGCCGCTCAGCGCGCGACTCGCGAACTGCCAGTCCTATAAAGCGTTCCAGCGCTTCAAGACTTTCGCCAGCCGCGCGCAAAACAGCGAATTCACCGCCACCTACGGTCTAGACCATGTGCTCTACGCAGCCGAGCTGTGCGCCATCGACGTGCTTTTCGTGACGCGCGCGTTGCTGCAGAACTCGCCGCTGCCCGTCAAGAACAAGCTGCACAACGCACTGCAGACGCTGGACGCTGCGCAGGTCGAAGTGATAGGCAACGACCACCTGCTCTTTGAAAAACTCGAAGGCTATGGACAGATCTGCGCGCTGCTGCGCTTCCCCGTGCACTTCGAGACCGCGTAACTCAGGCCGGCACGCGGCAGACGATCTCGACAGCGTGGATCTCTGCGGCGTACTCCGCGATGCATTTGCGCACCAGCCGCTGTCGCTCGAGGTGCGGCATGTCGCGGAACTGCGAGGCCACCACTTCGATCCAAAAGCACTTTCCGCAGTTGTTTCTGCCTGTCTCTCATCCGCACTTACGACGTGTCGCGCACTGCCAAAGCGCAGCCTGGTATTTCGCGCGCAATAGCTGCCTCCAGCTTCTCCGCTAACCCCATGCGACCAATAACTTAACACGAAATATTTTTTCGAAATTGGGCGCTCGACGTGCCACGGCCGTGCCATGGACTGGAACAGCGCGATCAACAACTTCGCCTCGAAGCTCAACGCTTCCAAAGTTGCGAAAGACCAGTTCGCAGACGCTGATATAATCGAGCAAACCAAGGCACTCGACCTCGACGCGATGCGCAAGGTGCTCGCGAGCAGCGATGACAAAGCCAAGGTGGCCGTGTTGCACTCGCTGCTCAAGGCCTCGGTCGTCGGCAGGAGCGTCGGCTCGCTTTACGCAGAAGTGCTCTCGTGCATGCAGACGTCGCTGCTCCAGCTGAAGAAACTGGTGTACTCCTACGTCAGCTTTCACTGCGCGCACTTCCCCGAGCTCACGATGCTAACGTACAATACGTTCCTGAAAGACTGCAACTCGCCGAACCCCATCGTGCGCGCGCTAGCCATCCGCACGCTCTGCAAATTCTGCACCGAGGCCTCGCTCGAGTACGTCTCGCCAATCGCCACTAAGCTACTTGCCGACTCGGATATTTACGTGCGCTCCTGCGCTGTGCTCGCAATGAAGAATCTTTACGCGGTGCAGCCAGCGTGGTTCGACCGCGAGCAAATTCCTCAAAAACTCGAAGCGCTGCTCGCCAGCGAGACACATCCCGTCGTGCTCGCCGCCGCACTTGGCACACTGCTGTTCGTCAAGCCCGCCAACTACTGTTTGAGCTCGCAACTCGTTCGCAAACTGCTTGAGACGATGCCGGAGTGCAACGAAACGGGCCAGGCGTGCATCGTGCGCGCGCTCGCAAAGCACTACCAGCCCGCCAGCGCAGCCGAAGCGACGGCGCTCCAAAAACTGCTGCTTTCGCGTCTCGCCAACCAAGACCACTCGTTGATTCTCGCGCTAGTCGAACTCATCTGCAACTTGAATCAGTTCCAGCAGCGCGACGAAGAGTTTATCGAGCTGCTGCAAACACACCTCTTTCCTTCGCTGTACCTGATGCTGAACACCGGCAGCCCGGAAATGAAGTTCGTCGTATTGCACTGCTTCAAGAACTTCCTCACGCGCCACTACCTGCCGAACTTCTCACAGCTAAAAGTTACAGACTTCGCACGCTTCGTCCCTCACGCGAGTGACTCGATCGCGCTGCAAACGGCGCAGCTGCAAGTGCTGCTCGCGCTGCACCACTTCTTTGAGCAGAAGTTGCAGTACAGCCAAGCAGAGGCAGTCCGGACGGAACTGCTAAAATGCGTCGAGTCGGTCCGCGCCCCGCTCGCAGACCTGGCTACGCGCGCGCTGTTCTTCCTCATGCACACCGCGAGCTACATAGACGTGGGAAAAACTGTCCAACAGCTGTACGCTGCGTATTCGCGCGTCGGGTCGCTCTCGCTTACAGCAGAACTCGTCGTTTGTCTCAACGAAGCGTTTGAAGCGGGAGTTATCAACGGCGATCACGTCGCATTGTTCAACGCCAAACTCAGCGATCTCGCCAGCATCGCAGACCCCGTCGCTGCCTGCGCACTCGCTGCTTCTCAAAAGCAAGTCGCGCACGTCGAGGAGATCGTTAAAAACGAACTGCAGACCGCAAACTACGAACGCTTGCTCGGCTTTGCTCGCGTCGCTTCGTCTGCGCGTCTTCTAAACACGGCTCGCGCCGTCGCAGATGCACTTCAGCAACGGAAGCTCGAAGTAAAGCATCTTTCTCCGTGGTTCAACTATGCTGCTTTTCTACCACTGTCTGTGCGCAACGCGCAGCCGCAGTACAGCTCGATGTTAGCCTTTTCGCAGGACGAAAACAACAGCTGTTTATCTGACTTGGTAACTTTCGTCTGAAAAAAGAACTGCTGAAGTCGGTCTCAGCTCCGCAAACATCGTTGCACAGCGCAGCAATGGTTCCACTGCCAACGCAACCAAGCTCCGTATGCACTTTGACCACTCGTCCCGAATCTGTCTGCTTTCCGGCATTGCGAGGAGCAGCCAAGCGCTTAACCGCAAAGAGTCGCCGTTCGCTCAGACTCAACGGACGGTTAACGCCACAAAAAACTTCGTTTGGTTAAAAACTGCGCGCGAGAAACGTGCAGGCTCTATCGGACATGTGCGTAGCAATACACCATTTTATCCTCACTGCAGAGCGCTGTCACTTGCACCTAATTGCGAAGAGTTCTCGCTCACACTGTGTTCAGGGCTAAGACTCTCTACATCTGTCTGTACGCTCGTCTCAGCAACCGCTGCAAGCGATGCTTCCTCTGGCTGCATCTGTGCCAACTCTTCCGCGGCAATGTCAGTCTGTCGGCCTTCTGGCATAGGCTCATGCGTATTAGCTTTGAAAGAAACTGGGCTGCTTTTAGTCGTTTCGCTGATCGGAGCCGCCGCCGCTAACTCGTCGTTTTCTCGAGATTCGACATTAGCTGCTGCGGAAGCTGAAGCGATTTCCTCCCATTGCAAAAAGTCATTCGAAACGTCCTGACATTTTCCTTCTCTAGTGCGAATGTGGTAGCGCTCGTCGCTTATGTGCTTCAGAGTAAAGTCCTTCTTTGCAACATACAAATTGTTCTGGATTTTCTGAATAGCGCTGCAGTTAGAGCACAACAACGGACCGTAGTCTGCTTCCGTTTCGAACATCATTGTGCTGAAGTTTTTGTCTTTATTGTACAGCAGCACCTTGTAAAAACAGTCTTTCACAGCGACAGACTGTAACGATAGCGCGTTCAGCGCAGGCTCCGCAACAGAATACTCGACGCAGTATTCGTGCGTGCGTTTGCGCATAACCACGTCATTCACACAAAGTTTGAATGCCGTGCCGTACAGCGAAGCAAGCAGTTTGAAGCGCACAAAGTAAATAGGGCTAAGCAAGGCGTGGACCAAGCTGTACCTGAAAGAGTAAACCGGTGCGGTCCAATCTTCGGTAACCGAGAATATTTTGAAGTGCAAATACCCGTTGGTCCGCAAGTTAAATGGCACCAGCTCGTAGTCAATCTCTATTTCTCCAATCACTTCCGCTTCATGCTCCACAAAAGTGTCAACAGACATGTTGATTATGCGAAAAAACAGCGGATCGCTTATGACCAAGTCTGGCACAAAAGCAGATCTGTATGGCTCCTGCACTATCCACTCCACAGTCTCTAGTACGTTGGATTGATTCGGTGCTGTTGCAAGTTTCTGTTCCGCGTGCGCATCGTAAGCCTGGAGTTTCAACCCGCTGCGCGTTTTCGTTCTGGCGTTGGTTGAAGGATCGCTCTGAAATGATCTATATTCTTCTCCGCTAGGGGCTTCACGCGATATGTGACAATTTTTTGCATGGTTAGAGTAGAACTTCGGAATACTATGCTCAAAATGCGACAAGGTAAAGTCATCGAAGGGCAAGAACGTGGCTAGCTTTTCAGCCATAGAGTGTCCGAAGTACGCACTAGCCAAATAATTTCGTGAAAGAGCTTTGTACTGCATCGGCAAGTTGTAGATACTGTAGAGATTTGGGTTCTTACTCGGGTCCCGAACGACTTGCTGCAGGTTGATAGCGACATTGTCACTTTTTAACGATGATTCGATTTCAGACGTTATTTTATTAAACAGGGCAACTACATCTGTGGTAGACAAACTTGACAAAACACCTCTTAGCACGAGATAGTGCGGCGACAGAAGCGCTGTAGCCATACAGGGATTCAGCGGTAGAGAAAAATGTGCAAGCTTCTCGACTGATGTCCCCTGTGCGGTTTGATCAGCTACGTTCCTAATACCTTGAGCACTGTTGCTCAAAATCCCGTAATCTGCAGCGATAGCGACGTAGTCGATAATCTCCATTCTGACAATGTTAGATTCGCAATCGCGATCCACAACGACAAGAGCTGAACAACGAGCTACAATCGTTATGTCAAATTTGCTGTCAAGCTCATAAGGAAGGTCAACTGTTACGTCAAGACTGACAGAGTAAAGAATTTCAGACTCTTTAACCTCTAGCATGTCGTCAGTGACCGTAACGGACTTCAAAAATTCAATGTACCGCCCGTTTCTAGCCGTGACGTAAACATCGAACTGATTAAACTCATGAGCCAAGCTGTATACGATCCAAAACAAAGAGCCTGAAACGTAACCAGGGCGTGAGTCGTGATCTGCAAACGTAGCCGTGAAAGGTAGTATACTATCATTTTTGCTAGAACCATTCGAAAACGGTAAGAAACACAGGAAGTTAATGAAGTCGTGCTTGCTCGGAGACATATCGCTGTTGCGTCCAATGCCAAGCGGCAACACGCTAGATTTTCTGTAACAAAAGCACAGGAAAGAGCCGTTAGCAAACTGCACAGACGCAACGTCTGCTTTGTTGTTCACGCACGTTGCCGAGCATTCCAAGCCAGAGGTAAACACAAACCGTCCCACTAGCACCAGTTTCTTCATTAGCGGAGCTAAGTTGTTCATCCTAAAACATTTGTCTGGCGGTGAGTAAACATCTGGAACAACCACTAAATACTGTCTCGCTCCGTTCGGCGTCATTACAGACCTCGCCATGTGACTCGCTATGACATTTGTTTCATTTCCGCTAGGCCAGATTGATTGTAGAGACTGTTCTCTGAAACCTGAGGGCTCAACAGTCAATAAAGTAGAACTATATTTTTCATCCCGATGCTGATAACAGTTGCGCTTTGAGTTCCAAATAGATCTTCTGCCGCCAGCACAAAGGGCAGTTTGACCGAAATTGCCGTTGGTGTCAAACAGAAAGTCTTCGCTAGCATCTAGACTCAAAACCACTTTAGCTGATCGAAGCGAATCGTAGGAAAACTTTGCGTTGTCGTATATGTCGATAGAGTGAACTATAAATGATGCTTGGTATAACAGCAATCTTACAGCGCTCAGTTTGACGGTTCTCGTCTTTCCGATATCTGGCGGTGCTGCGTTGTACAGGTCAGTGACAAGTATGTTATTACACTCAAGAACGACTAACTCTTCAAAACTCGAGGCTGTATCACACTTTACAGTAAGTTCATCACCACTAGAAGGCGGCTCTGACGAATCGTACACAATTCTTAAACAGTAATTTAAACCGTGAATCGTCAAACAGATTTTGTCAACGTCTGATCGATGAACTTTTAGAGTAAAACTTACTACACCCTGCTCATGATTGGCATCACCCGCAACAGCGTATAGTAAGTCGAAATTGTGTCTCTTTACGCGAGGAAACAGTCTAACGTCACAAGGGACTGCCTGGTTAGCTAGATACCATGGCCTGTAAAAAGCACTGAAAGAGCAGTGGTAATTCAACAACCGAGGATTTCTCTTAATGAAGCTTCGAACAAAATTCATTTCTGAGCAAGTCCGAAAACTATTATGTTGATAAGACGATTCAATAGTTCGGTCGATTGATGCAGAACGAAACTCTTTAGCGCCTTGCTGGCAAGTCACTCTAAGTGTATCACTTGACTCGTATATGAATGCGATGTCCTCAAATTGCGGCGTGGGCTCACATCTAAGTTTACTAAAACCTTGATGGTTAAACCGAAATAAACAACACTGGTTGAAAGCACTGCTATCGCTAACATCAACATAAATATCTCCGCTAAATAGGAATGGAATTCCCATCCTGTCGAGTTGCAAGAGACGAGTAATCACCGCATCAGAAGAGGTTACCTCATTAATTGCTTCTTTCCCAAGAAAGTAACGAAAGTAATTGTGAGCAATGACGGAGTTGCAAGTTGGAGACGTAACAATAATGCTGCACTCCAAGAGTTGACTACTAAAGTCCTGATCATTCGACTGAAAGCGCATTACGTAACTCGTGATTTCGTCACGAACCGATGAAATCTGACAGGTGTTAGAACGGAGGATTGTTGCATCGAGAACGCTCAACTCAACGTCATATATTCCATTAGGCTGTGCTAAAACACTGTGCCACCTAACTTCCGGTTCGGTAAATCTGCATATACTAGAGTCAAGATCGACATCAGCAGTATCGCGGTGGTTGTCAATGAATGATCGTAGCATTGTAATGCGCGAATTAGATGGGAGAAATACCTCTGTTCTTTCAAGGAAATACACTAGATTATCTCCTTTGTCCGTAAAATGCACTTTGCTTAACACAGTCCCATTTCGCCACAAACTAATCTCATTTGTTATTTCGCAGTTCCTCAATTCATAAGCGAGGGATCTATAGTTCGTTTTATAAAATTTTGGAATGTCTTTATAGTCAGAAACCAACACTACAAAGCCTGTTTGACGCCTACGGGCTGCTGGATTGATGTTGAAAGAAGTAGTAAAATTCGGAAGGGGTATACGGCAGTTGAAAGATGTTTCCGTTGTAATTCTGTCGAAGTTCCGCAGTGAGGATGATTCCAAAATCGAATATAGTCGAACGTAAACCAAATCACCACCTGCCCTAAAGAACTTTGCTGCCTTGACATTGAACCTATTCTCTACTTCAGCGCCCTGGCTTGAAAAGTAAATGTCTGAAGCAAAAAGGCCTGGTCCTACAGCGTCGGAAACTGTTATGTTGCTCGCAGAAACATAATTGAATCCAAGGTTAAGACGCAATTCATCTGGAGAAGAATGAGAAGCTGTCAGTCTACTAGGCTGCAAAACCTTATATGCTGACACGTAGCTAGCATGCGGCTCGATTCGTTCAATCGTCTGAAGGAGCTCACAATCGACTCCAAACGACGCAGCTGCACATCCCACTACTCGGTTGCAAATCCGGATGCAAGCATTATAATCACTGACTAAGGCTGTGCGCACCAAAACCTTTCCAACAATTTTTTGGTTGATCTTAGGCGAAGAGGATTGTGAAAAAATGTTCGAGCTCGTTCTTAGTTTGATGACCGATGTTAGATCGAGACTACGATCTGAAAGAACTTTTTGTTCTCTATAGACCGCATCGAATTGGTGTTGCTTGTAAATTGCGCAGATCAATTCGCCATTAGAGTCGCTAAGGCTATCTACATTTTCGGGAGATACTGGGATGAGTGTGTAGCCTGATAAGTACTCAAGCATTGAGTTTGGTTCTCTCACCTCCGAAACCGAAAAGCAAGCCCATTCATCGGTTTCATTCGCCGGTCCCCAGGTTTCGTTCACGTATTGGTGCAAGGAAAAGTCATCCCTGTACTGCCAATGCACAACAAAACGTTTACTAGCGTTCGCTGCGTTCAACTGAACAACAGAGCTTTTCGATTCTGAATAGAAGCTGAGCGGACAAAACACGTATCCAAATCGTTGGGAGTGAATGCAGCTAAATAGGTTATTGCTCGCGTTCGAAGAAGTAGTGATATCTGCTTCAGAATCAAAGTCCAAAATACTTAACGTAGATGAGATTGTAGCATTCGGAGTTTTGGTGGTGACATTGACAACAAAGAAGCCAAAAAAAACATTTTCTTGGGTGGAAAGGTTCAACATTTCAGGCTCCCCAAAATTGCTTTCACTGATTCTTCCTTCGCGGGGTACTTTCAAACGACAGGAGTCAATATTTGTGATCTGTACGAGACCGCGGCTTTCTGCAATTTCGTAGATCTGAATGTCGTCGGTTGCGGCCCATAGTTCTTTCGGTACCCTAAGCACATTCAGATCATTCGTCTGCAAGAGCACGTTATCGTCGGCACACTTGAGAACCGCTGCAGTACGTTTGTGAAAAAACAAATGTAGGTAATCTTCGTCATAATAGTGTTGAGGTAAATACTCGCAATCAGGCACATCAAATGGTCGGTACGTTACTTGAATTCTCTGATCCACCGGATCAATCGCGTACGACGAGTAGTCGTTGGCCTTAGTTAATGAATGGAAGTTTGCGATCTGTTGGGGAGCAGTTGTCGATTCGGACTCGATTTGAGCTAAGAGCGCTTTTACGCTTAAGCAGTCAGTCAGCGCTGTACGATAAGCCGTTTCCCTGTAGGTAAAAACGCCCAAACACAACTTAAGTGTTTTCAAAGTGTCGTCAACAACGTCAAGAGACCTTTGGTCATAAAAAAGTCTACCGTACTGATCTTCCCTGCGAGTTTGACTTATAAATTTTTGCCAGTCCACCAAGTTTCCCAGCGCCGAAAATATAGCATTTCGGCTGTAAGCAACTGACCTATTGTCCAACACCGCTAGCGGCTTAAGCGGATGCACTATGCCGGGGTAGCATTTCTGAAGATTATCGCAGCTCGTGGCACTATCAGGAAAGTAACTTTCGTCGGTCAATAATAAGAAGTATTCAACAGGAAAGTCAGTAATTGGCAGAAACCAATCGGTATTGAACGACCCAGCCACGTAGGTTTTTGCTCTTTGCGCAAGTTGAACGAGTTTTGCGTCGCTGTATGTAGCTTCAGTAGACTGAACTACGCATAACGCACACACGAAGCGCAGCAAAAAGAAGAGCGCCATTCTAAGTTGAAGCGGCAGCCATCAAACCACAAATCACGTTAAAATAACACAGCAACATTTGGAAAACCTAGTTTTCTGCGTAGCCTTAGTGAATAATCTACTTCCGACCACGCATTCAACTAGCTCATATCTGGGCAGATTTCATCGTCCTGCACTTCATCAATTTGCAACGTAGCTACAGTTTCAATCTGTGATGCTAGCCCTAAGTCCTGCAAAACTTTGCAAAGTCGTGAATGCCCCAGCTGTTCTTCAGTAAACTCGGGCGACTCGAACGTGCACTCTGTAGAAGATTCTCGCAAGAGTCTACTCAGATCCTCAGAAACGTCCGGAATGAAAGCTTCCATCCATTCCGCGTCAAAAATAGCTCTGAGAACGCGATCCTGGTAATTTACCAACTGGCTTCCTAGCTTGCGTACGTCTTCTGACACGTCGCATCGCGCGCCCTTAATGGTATGTTTTAGTATTAGATTTGGAGCGTTGAAAGACCCAACCTCACTCGTAACGTAATCCAGCAGCTCAATTAGCAGTATCTGACTTAGAGGTTTTTTCGCAGCAGAGCTCATAATGTTTTCAAACACTCAATCAATCACTCGTACGCATTTTCCGCAATTACAGATTTGTTCTACTACTATTTAAAGAAAATTTTGTGTAGAGCTCGCAAACCGCAGCGCTGCTGCTGCACTGTTGAATATTTTTATCTGTTCTGAGTCGAACGAAACGCGGAAAACGCAAACTTAACCCTTTATCACGCAGCGTTTCAGCTGCGTTATATGTGGGCGAAGCTGAAATGTCTGCGGCGCGTACTTCAAAAATAAGTTCCGGCGTCACCCAGACATCCGGCACGATATTTGCGCGGTAATTGCCAGGCATTTCGCTTACAACATTCTTTTCAATGGCCGTCGATAGCGTCGCCAAGTCGTCGTCATTAAACCCCGTGGCGACTTTGCAAATTGAGCGCATTATACCATCTTCCTTATCATACACTGCGAGCAGAAACGATCCGTAGTGCTTGCTTCGTCTACCGCGACCTCGAAAAGCGCCTATCACAATCAGGTCGAACGAGTCGCCTAAGCCCTCAATATAATCCTTCTTCAACTTTAGCCAGTTGTTGTTTCGCTTCGCCGACTGATAGGTTGCGTTGGGCCCTTCTAGCATTTTGACAACCAGCCCTTCGGTGCTGCACCGAACCGACTCATCAAAAAAAGCCTGCAGTTGGTCGATGTCTGTTACATTATCTCCGGTCGCCAGAGCGATTTGCGCAATGCTATTAGCACGCTGCGAACTGACAAACGAAGATTTTACTTTCAAACCTGCAGGCTCACTCCGCTTCTCTTTCGCATAGGATTCGAACAGTCGCTGCAGCGCTGCGAGGCGGTATGTCAGCTCGCGATCGAGCAAGCTTTCTCCTGCGCAGTACAGACAATCAAAGAGAAACACCATGACGTTCACATGCGCAGTTTCGTTTTCTTCCAGCTTTCGCTTTCGGTTGCTCAGCGTTTGGAAAGGCAAAATAGCGCCACTCGAGTCGACCGCAACAACTTCGCCGTCCAGTATGCAGCTAACGCTTGAGAAGCGCGCAAATGCGGCTTGCACATCTGGGAAGCGATCTCGCAGCGTCTCCAAGTTTCGGCTGAACAGATCGACGCGCTTGTCACCGTGACAGTGAATTTGAATACGCTCGCCGTCGTATTTGTACTCGCATCGGATCGCGTTCCCAGCACCTAAGTCGATCAGCTCGGAAAATGACTTTATGCTCTTCGCCAGCATCGGTGAGACGGGTACACCGCACCGCAGCGTGCAACGCTCATTCACAACGCTGAGCGGCGCGCCGCTGCACAGCAAAAACACAATGTACCAGATGTTCGGCAATGTGCTATAAAACTGCTTTAGTAATTCTTCAAAACTACTCGTACCAAAATTGTTTGCTTTCCAATCCTCTGCGTAGGCTCTAACCGCGTCCGAATTCTGCTCACAGAACTGGAATCGCTTGGTATATTCTAACACCGCAGAAGTTACACCTTCGTACAAAAGGACTCGCGACAGCTCTTCAAAGCGCGCATCGAGTTCTAGAACGCGCGGCTGCAGATTCAGAAAACATTTTGCGACCACACTCAAGATTGTTTGGTTTTGTATGCCAATGCGCAGAGATTTTGACAAAATGCGTATTATGTATTGACCCTCCAGCGGAGTCGCTGCAATCAGCAGTGCCTCGATCAAGCCCTGGCGACGCGTGTTGGAGGAAGCGCCCACTTCCTTGTAAATGCTGTTTATTGTGTCGAAGACGGACATTACGCTAAGTGGTTTCGGCTTGAACAAAACTGAGCGCTTCACTCTGTACTCAGAGAAAACTTTACCTAAATCGCCGACGCGCTTCATGTCGGCGTGGACGGTGGCTTCTGGTACGCTGCAAACGGCAGAAATTGCTTTGAGCAAAGCTGCCTCGCCAACGCCAAGCTCGCTCTTCACGTAGAACGGCTTGACTTCTTGCGTCGAGATGCAGATAAACGGCATGACCGCAACTGGGTGCCGCACCAGCAAGAAAGACAGATAGTTCGCCAGCAGCTTAGTGATCCTATCCTTGTAGCCGGTGCCAGAGTTCTTCTGTGCTTCAATACACTGCAGCACGGCGGAGAAGTTCGCGAAAGACGCAGCTGCGCCGTCTGCGTCACTCGTAACGTGCTGCGCGTCGAAGTTTTCGGCAAGCAGCACATCTAGAAAACTCGCATTCACTGACTGCATGTCGTTCAAAAGCGCAGATCAAACTTGCGCCGCGTCAGCCGAGACAGCAAGCCCGCTGTTCGCCACACAGCCGATAATTATTTTTGCCTTAATGAATATATTGCTGCACTGCCGCCGTAGTTCATTTCATTAGATCAGCGGCTGATCGCCTCGCTATGTAAAATGTTCAAAAGGCGAAAATGGAGCCTCGGCGTCATGACTACTGCGCTCTTGTGTTTATCGGCGAGCAGCGGCATCGCACTGCACTACGTGGTTTCGTCAACGAGCATGGCGGATTACGACGCGATCGACCCTGAAATTGTCGATTCCGTGATCTATACTGACGACCGCGATGCGCACGTTTTCATCGGACACCTCACCGCAACCACGCACTCGATCTGTTTCCGCAAAGGCTTCATCTGCTCCGCGCGCTACATGAACCGCACCACACGTGAAGCCTGCGACAGGTTCGCAAAGCGCATCGAGCCGATCATCGGAGACCTTGGGAACCTGTACGATGCGAAGTGTGCCAGCTCTGCGACTTCCGACAGCTGCGAGTCCATGCTCAACGCCATTCGCTGGAACTCCGTGCTTAAGATACTAATCGTGCTCGCGCTCATCGCCTACGTGCTCTACATGGTACTCTACTGGATTCTGCCGAAGCTGAGCTACAACACACGTGGGGCCGGAATCCTCTTTGGCTGCGCGAGTGCCGCACTGCTGGTTTCCTTCCACGCCATCATCATCGACACCGCTATGACCATAGGCTTCCTCGTCAACCAAGCAATTCCCGTCCGTTATCCCTACATCTTTGTTACGCACGGCATCGGATTGCAGCTCGTCCTCAGCAGCATGGTCTGCGCCGGCATTAGCACGCTTTTGTTCACACTCAAATTTATTGACAAGATGATGAACTGCGTCAACGTCGACAAGCTCAACATTCCAATTCTCATCATCTAGCCCTCGGCAGCAGAACCACAAGCACAAGTAGGACGCAGTTGTCCGGCTGCAAACAGCTGGGTGCGCATGCGCAGCCGCGCCGCGGCGCGCGCGGCTCGCCAATCCACCCGATGAAGAAATTACATTTTTCGCTTATGTTTGACCCTGTCTGCAGAAAATTGATTTACCGCTCTGAATTTTGGAAGACCAAGTGCTTTCTGCTGGACGAACTGACTTTCATCGACGTTGCGCTCGAGTTGCAGCATTTTGAGCTCGCCAATGCCAACCCCTTTCGGACGCCCGACTTTGTCGTGCTGCTCTTCAAACTCAATGAAATCAACCCCTCGCTCGACACATTGCGCGAGTTCCTCCGGCTGACGCTGAACTTCCATTTCGTCGCGCTCGTTCTGCTCTACTGCCGCCTGAAATTTCGCGACCGCGAAATGTCAAACCTTTTGCTGCCCTTCCGTTTTTATACGGCTCCGCTTAGCTGCGGTTCAGCCGTAGCTAAGCAAACCTTGCCTTTCGACGAGTTCGTGTTTCAACTCTTCACTGCGCCGGAAATCTTCGATCTACTCCTGCCGCAGTTGCCCCCTTCCGTCAAGCTTTGGGTAGCTTCCCGCTATTTGGCAGGTGTAAACTAGCGTGCACACGCCGTGCGCAATGCTTATCAAGATAAACCTTGATCGCGATTGCGTTTCTTCCTGCGTAATCACCACCTGCGCCGACGAAACCTCGGCGCAGAAACTCGGACGAGCTTTCGGCAAGCATGTTTTGCTTGACCTCGGCGTCACCGAAGTCTACGGTCGCCCCGGCGTCGGAAAGTCTCGCCTTCTCCAGGAGCTTTGCGAGAACGCTACTTATTCATCAGACCAGGCCAAAACCGGCCCACTGAACGTCATCTACATCGACACCGAATGCGCTGTGATCGCCGAGCTTTTTGAAGCGCGTTTCCGCCGCTATCCGCACTTGAACGTGGAGCTGCTGCAGGTGCACGAAGCCGCGAGGTTCAACCACGCTTTGCTCGCTCTGCTCAGCGCACTCGAGGCGGATGCGCGCCAATGCGACCTACTCGTCATCGACAGCCTCTCCTACCCTGCAAAAGTGCTGCACCTGCTGGAGCAGAACCACTCCACTTACCTCAGCTGGGTTCGCCAGTTGAACTTCCTTGCATTTAAAAAGCGATTTGCCGTGTTGGTCAGCAATACGGTAACTGTTAAAGACAATTTTGAGCTCAAACCCGCGCTAGGCAAGCGCTACTCGGCTTTGCTGCACCGAAGAGTTGCCCTCGACGCAGACTTAGGTTACGCAAAAAGCACCAGCTCGCTCGTCGATCTTTTGGCCGAGCCTTGACGACCTATGCTATATGCTGCGCAACTCCGAGCGCTTCATAATAAGCGTTCTGTATGAGCGTTTCAACCCTTGGTTGAATCGGTTGATGTCTACTGCAAGAGTCATAGTAAACATGATGAAACTGAACAGCGCCACATGTTCAACGAAGCCTGTTTTGTTCGGCTCGAAGTTTGAAAATACCTTGTCCATCATCAAGCTGATCAGCGGCGTCGCGGAAACGATGATCAGCTTTACCACAACGCTGGTCAAACTGGTTTTTATCAGGTACCTATTCTGCTTGTGCAGAAGCCCGTGCAGCGGTTGATAACCGAGCAGCAGTATAACTGAAAGCATCCACGCCTCGCACAGGTAAAAAAAAGCCCGCGTTCCGTAGTAAGTAATCGTTCCGCGCATCTCAGCACGAAACACTTCGTCGTCTTGGCAACCTAGAATCTGGCGTTTGTGGTAGTTCGAAATCGATGGGGCCGTATCTATGTGCTTCACCTTTTTGACCACGAGCTGTCTCAATCGCTGCAGCCAAGGTACTTTCTCCTGCTGAAGATCTGGCTGCACTTTGGTGAGCGTGATCGCGACACCAGGTCCTCCGAGAGTTTGCGCGTTGACACCCGTCAGCAACTTAGTCAAGTCCGGGTAGCTGGCGCGGCTCACAAACACAGCTTGTGGCATCCGATGCGACGCCGCCTCAGGCGCTCTCTGGAACTCTGTCTCGGGCTCGCTAGACAGCGCACTTGGGAACTCCACGCTAGACGCTGCGTTCACCTGAATGAGCTTCTCACGCAGTTGCTCTTGCCGCTCGTCAGCGTTGCGCAGCTCGTAGGTAGAGCGTAAATCAGAGTCGGCCGAACGGTTTTCGTAACCTGGTTCTTGCGCTGCGGACTTTGCAGGCTCAGACTCTGCGCGAACAGGCCGGTCGTGTCCAAGCAGCGCACCGCTGGAACGCTCGTCCAGCAAAAAGTTGTTGGCTGCCGCCTTGCAGCTGATGAGCGAGCGACCTAAAAACTCGTAGTCGTAAGGCAACAACAGTGTCGCGTTGCCAACGACGAGCGTCAGCGCGAACAGGTGCAGCAGCAGTACCCGCGCGCAGCGGAAGTGTCGCGGCTTGTACTGGAAGAAAGTCAATTCACGCGCGTCGTCCGGTTCGAGCGCCGTTTCGTTCTCGAAAAGCACCAAACTGTTCATCCACTCGGGTCGCGCCTCATTGTGAATGCGATACGCGCAGAGCAACGCTGTGTCGCGCTCGAATGACATGAAGAACAGCTCACAGTAGTGCTCGAGCGTGTAAAATGTAGCCGAGAGCCAGTAGTAAATCGCGATGGACCAGGTAAAACACACTGCGTGCGCCGCGACGAAACTTACTCAGCACCATCAGCGCGTGCTCTGGAATCTGGTTGACGGTCATCAAAAGCGGCGCCCAGTAGAGCGTGAAAACGCGGTGGTCGTTTTCAAATTGCGATTTCCCCGAGCGTTCCATGACTATGTTCATGGCAGCGTAGCCGAACATGAACAGCAGTCCGAGCACCAGCGGCAACAGCCGACACTTGTGTGAACTGATGTTTTTCCACAACGCAGTGGTAATGCTGTTGTGCACCGACCTGCTCACTCTGGACTGAATCATGCATTAGTTTGTAGTGCGTTTTAATTTGGAAACACCGAGGTCGCGCCGATCGGCAAACCGTCGCAACGCTGCTTACGCGTTCGGAGACGCGTTTGGGAACCATTATGAACGAGTTATTGCCGCCGCGGCAGCGTTCGACGCAGCTGCCCACGTCGCGGTCGAAAAGCCGAAAAAAGACAACAGATAATATTGCCATAAATAGCTAATTTCAGTTATTGATTTTTATTTCCCCATGGGTTATAGTGGGCGCGATTTAAATGAGGTAATTACGACGAAAAATGAATTGTCAACAAATAATGATTGCCATGCCGCGATGAAGAGAAACACAGGGCGCAATACAAACGCTCTAAGTGAGTTGCCAAGCGCGACTCGAGAAAATGCTGTGAATGAGCTCGAGAAGTCTGAGCGCGACGAATCTGGCAATATGGAGACTGCGGCCGGGAGTGAGCGCGTTTCGACAGCGGGCGATAGCGGCGCCTCGCAATGTGCCGACCTAGACAACGCAACCGACATCGCTGCGCAGAGCGTAGCAGCGTCTGAGTCTGCCAAACCAGAACCGCAGAGCAAGTCGCAAAACGACCTGCAGAGCGCCGCTGTGTGTCAAGCAGAGACAGCGTCGCGCGAACAGCAAGCGAGTCAAGCCGAGCAGTTCACCGAGGCATTG